TCTGCTGGACCTGCATCCAAAGCTTTGAAGTGTCTTCCCAGAGGGCAGCAGGGAGAACTGTCCATGGTGGGGGTGTGAGGGGTCATTTATGATGTTACGAGCTTGGGACACACAGTGCTGGAATGAAATGTCTTTAATGCAAGAAAGAGGAGCCCAGATGATCTTCTCTGCTGTTCTCACCACTCTTCTCACCTTCTTCCAGTCTGAGGAGCTGCAGCCTCCACACCACACAGTGACACAGCTGGTCAGAACGCTCTCTATGGTGCTTCTGTAGAAGGTGGTGAGGATGGGTGGGGGCAGATGGGCTCTCCTCATACTCCGCAAGAAGTACATGCGCTTTTGTGTCAGTGAGGTGGTGTTTACATTTCAGGTGAGGGCGTCTGTGATGTGCACCCCCAGGAATTTGGTGCTGTTGACCACCTCTACAGCTGAGCTGTTGATGACCAGTGGAGCGTGGCCAGGCTGTTTCTTCCTGAAGTCCAAGAGGATCTTCTTTGTCTTCTCTACGTTCAGGATCAGGCTGTTATCTTTGCACCAGCCCACCAGGTGCTCCTCCTCCTCTCTGTAGTCCAGGTCGTTGTCGTCTCTGATGAGGCCCACCACCGTGGTGTCGTCTGCAAACTTCACGATGTGATTGGTGATGAACCTAGGGACACAGTCATATGTCATCAGGGTGAACAGCAGGGGGCTCAGGACACAGCCCTGAGGGGAGCCTATGCTTAGACTGATGACATCAGAGGTGTTCTGTCCAACCCGGACTGACTGTGCTCTGTTGGTGAGGAAGTCTAGCAGCCAATTTCGAAGGGTTGTATTAAAGCCCAACTGTTCAAGTTTACCCATCACATGCTGTGGGATGACGGTGTTGAAAGCTGAATTTAAGTCCAGGAACAGCATCCGTACATGGGTGTTCTTCTCCAGGTGTGCCAGGCTCAGGTGCAGAGCAGCAGAGATGACGATCTCAGTGGAACGGTTTTGTCGGTAGGCAAACTGGAACAGGTCGAATGTTGGCGGCAGACTGGAGAAAATGTGTTCTTTAACCAGCCTTTCAAAGCACTTCATCATGAGTGGAGTCAGTGCGACAAGCCGGTAATCATTTAGTGAGGTGACCTGAGGCTTCTTTGAAACCGGAACAATGGTGGCAGACTTGAAGCATGCTGGCAGTATGGGTTGGTCCAGCGAGGTGTTAAAAATATCTGTGAGGACACCAGCCAGCGGATCTGCACACTCCTTATACACCCACCCAGGTATGTTATCAGGCCCTGGGGTCTTCCTGGGATTGACTATCCTCAGAGTTTTCCTCACTTCAGCTAATGATTAGCTGATTTATGATTGGGAAGCTGGGACTGAAAACACAAATAAGCCTCAAGGTCAAAGAGACTGTCAGCCTGATTAATGGCTGCAGCTAATTGAGCCACATGGAGGAGATAAAGGTAGAGATTAGCATAAAAGGTTTCTCTAAGGTATCATCAGATCTATTCCTGGAGAACGTCTGTTCACCTGTGTGAAAACATTTTGAAATAACAGTGGTTCTAAACCATTCCTTGGACGCTGTCAGCATTGGTCCAGCGAAACCTAAAAGATATCTCTTTTGTTATATCCCATAAAAAATATGTAATTTGTATGAAAACATTTTATATTTAATCAGGATTAAAGCAATTGCCACAATAAATAGTTCAAATATTATGATGTACTATTTTTTTCACTCAGCATATTGTAAAAATACGATTTTAGCCCTTCATATTATGGAAAGATCCTCTTGATACAAGAGAAAACTAAGATTTTTAGGAAAATGGCTGCTTATCAATAAATCTTCAATCAAAAGGTAAGAGCAGTCAACTTTAGATTAATTAATTAGCTGATTACTCACATCCCTTGTTCAGTGTGACTCTACAAAACACAAGATATGTTTCAAGCACAGATACGCCATTTAAATAAACCTTTAGCTTTAGTTTTTGACCGACTGCAGCCATTGTGGTGTCAATACTTTTGCAAAATCCATGGGTTGTCTTTCTCTCAGCGAACTCCTTCCATTTCACCCCACTGAACTGCAGGCACCATATGGCTGATCTTGCCGCTGACCAATCAATGAGGGGAAGTCTGTTCTTGTCACTAGTTAGCACTGTTCAGCCCAGGAAGATCCAGTGGGATCTGCTTTATAAAACAGGCTGGATGGGATGGAGTTGATGGAAAAAGGACTTACCTGAAGCTTAAATGTTTAATTGTTACAGCTAAATCTGTCTAACACATTGTCTGTCATCTGATCATCTGTCCTCCACCACGAACACAGAACACCTTATGATTTAGTACCTGTGGTGCAGCAGAATTAAACGTGGTATCTTTTCAAGTTTTCCATGTTTCCTAATTGTTGAAAATTATCCCCCAGACTCAATTTATTCATGCAATCAGCCGACGAGGCACAGAGACACAATGTACATCTGATTAGCTAACTCTCTACCCCCTCTAAGGATGTACTGTGTTATTTTCTCAATAAGGTCACAGTGAAATACGACATATTTCTACTGCCGTTGAGGAATTAACAATTAACCTGCTAGTGGTAAAATCGGAAACCAACCCTTAGATCAGAAATCCCAGAGATCTACTGCCCTACGGTTAGATACATCCCTGTTCTAGCAAACCTAAATCAAATGAAGGGCTCTTTTGCCAAAGTTGATGTCATGTTGAGGAGATAATCATTCATTTGATTCAGCTGTGCCGGTATGAGGGTGCCTGGTTGACTTCAGGTCCTCATCCTTTTCTGGTCCCTTCAGAGGACACACAGAGGAGTCTAACAAAGTGTTTTGTGATGACTGCAAAGAGGTTTCTCCATCTATGGTTGGGCTATGTGTCCAATAGCTGAAGTGTTGACCATTTTGACCATTTTTGACACAATGCTGATGCCGTTACAGAACTCTGCCTAATATAGTCCCGCACTGCATGATTCATAAAGGAAAGTTGTCCACGTCACCGATTTGGATTTTTCAACTACCAGCAGCTCGTCTGTCTGGGTTGATGACGTAAATTATTTTGTGAAAGAGGTTAATGTTTTTCTGTCCAAACCACCTAGGTTCCTGCCCTCTTGAGCTTTGAGCTATGCCTTACGCCTCTGTAACATAAAACCAAGCTGTGTTGAGGATGGACTCTTCCTTCTCTGCAGCCTGAGTTCCACATGGCTAACTGTAATAAACTGTCTGAAGAGATCATCCTCACTTCCTGACTCCATTCAAGCCAGCAAAGAGCTGTCAGTTCTGATGTTTGCATGACTCAGCTGGTTGAGAGTCCTCTTCACACCCCTCTGAAGAAGACGTGTTACAGAGCCTCAATGTCACCTTGTCAGCATCAAGAGGCCAAGCGGGAACGGCTGCTGCCTGGACAGAAAGGCAACTATGGGGATGCTCATTTGGCCTGGATTTGATATAGTCCTATTTCACAGCTTTGATAATTATCCCAGGGAATTCATAGCACAAAAAATAAAATTCCTCTGCATAATTAAATCCGTGAAAAACATTTCTACCATAGTTTGTGCTTTGTTTAACATACCTGCCAAGTCATGGCTCTAAGCTTTAAAACATGGCCCACCTGCACCCAAATACACAGATTAAAACAGCAGTATTAGTTCAAAGATCAGTTTTCATCTTGTTTACCATTCAGTTGATAAATATGCTTTTTGATGTATTTTGCACATTTAGAAACACAGACAAGGCTCTGAAAGTTAGTCCTGTTGCCTAAATACATCATTGACTAGAAGAACTTCTGGAAATAGCAGATTTCCAGAGAAGAAAAAGAATCAAGGGGAAACTTTCTGCTTTTTTCTTAACTGAATAATTAACACATACATTTCCAACAGACACAAACAACAGAGCAGTACATGAGAGAAAGATGGTTTTATAACCATACTTTAAGGTTTTTCAGTCGTCTGCAGACTTGGATCTTATTCTTCACTTCCCCAGTTCTCTGACAAAAACCTGAACTAACCAGATCCAGGTTCAGCAGACTGAAGGCTCCTCATGCTCTCTGCCAGAGGTGGGGACAGCTGAGCCTCCACAGAGCGCTAAACACTCACCTGCCTCTGACACAGACCCGGCCATCTGCTGCACGGCAGGTTTAATCTGTGGATGATTGTGAGGAGCGTGTTTCAGCACAGCCTCACGCAGCTAAGAAGAGAGTGGCTGAGCAACAGACTGTAATGATTATAAACGCTTTAACTTCCTGATGTCCACCTTCAAATTATGAAATGTTCGGAGCTGCCATGTTATCAGATTATAGAAACATAGCAGGGGGACTATTTGATTATTTTACAGATTTGCTGACTTACAAAGAAGCCATTAGTGTCTAACAGTGACAAAACATTTATTTTGATGTAGAGATTTCAACTAAATTAAAAAATCTAATAACATTCGAATTGATTAGTGTATAGATGACCAATGAGACTCAAACAGTCCTGATATGATATAACGTAGAAGTTTTTAAACTAAACTTTGATCAAATCTGTTGAAAGATTTTATCTTCTGCTCAAGGCTTTCCTCAACATGTTTCCTGTAGGTCTGCGGACTGGAGGATACTTCTTCATTTGTGCTACAATCTTTAATGATCTGAAATGATGGAAGAAGGTTCTCATAAGATTTACTGGCGCATGGCTTCCTGGACAGCAATAAAACAATTGATAATGCTTCCTCATCCATGCTCCACGCTGGGGATCAGGCTTCATCATACTCAGGGTTTCTTTTCCCACTATCAGACAAGTTAGTTAACAGAACTTGGTTTTTACCCTACCTTATGGAGGGAAGGATATGATATCTGCCTTCGACACACAGGGGGTGATGTCTCAGAATCAGCCTCTCTGCAGCAGGGGCCCCAGGCCCGGTCCCCTTGACTGTTTTCCTGCTGTTGTGACTTAAATAAATGGGCCTTTTCCATCACTCCTCAGAATCTATGATCATTAGATTGTCCTTCTGGTTCAGACTGAACAGATTTCTGTAGGCTGTCCTGATGTTTCTCTGCAGGGAGACAGAGAAGAAGACCAAGCCCCCGAGGACTCTGATCACAGCTGATGGACGAGTGATGAATGTCAACGAGCCCAGGTAAGGGAACAACAGAGGGTCTCTTAGGTTATCTTTGTGTGGTATTAAGTTTATTTTAATGATCTGAAATAATTAGGATGAAACAAAAACAGGAGACCTGTGTTCCTCACAAAGACTGAAGTGAAAAACCTGAAGTTTAGTTCATGTTTCTAGTAACAGTTTTTCATTAAAGTATTTTTCACTGTGATTCTAGTGTCTTCCCTTAGGATCCATTATGATCTGGATCTTGCTGTGAAATGTTGGATTGTTTCTGTTCTAATGGATGTCAGATAAAAGACTGACCTGATATGTGACATGAATCCAAGAGTCCAACTGAATTCTGATGTTTGCTGCTTGTCTTCTTCAGGCTCGCCTTTTCCCTCACCGAGGACGAGGACACCAACACCGTGGTTTTGGACCTGGCTGTCTACAGGTGAGACCTGCCAGAACTTCTTATACATCAAAGGCATTTAGATTTGAAATCTTCAAACAGTTTTTAAAATTCTGTATTTCAAAAATACAAGGTACACATGCAGAAGAACAGACCTTT